AACACACCTTAACAAATATACTACGCTAATATGTTTAGAAACATTGTATTTCCTTGTACCAAAGTACGTAGTAAAATACTTTTTGACCTGAACTGGCGACGTGACATTCTGCAGCGGTCTGACCAATCGGAAAGAAGCTTTCAAAAGTCTGTCATTTGGCCCCGCCCATACTGGCGAGAGCTCGATCTGTATGTTGACGAGGCGGAATATTTGGATTGTTCGTGAACGTCCTGTTACCAAGGTTTATACGACAAATTTGGATTAATATTGACCAAGTTCTTACATTTCCATGTCAATATGCATACCAATCTGTGCTTATCGACAAAATCGGTGATTATTTGTATAGATTTTTAAAGAGTTTTGTGTAAATGCATACGACACGTGTGAAACGTGGCTTAAGTGCGATGGGAGGAGCTTAACACGATTGATCATGATTCTATCGCAGATCAATTAGAACATGGTCCGTATCCAATCAAAACACGCGTTGCAAACGAATCGTGTTAGAATGTATATTTGAGATCATTGTTGTAGTGTATATTTGACATCATTGCTGTTGTATATATGAGATCCTTGTTGTAGTGAATATTTGACATCATTGTTGTAGTGTATATTTGACATCATTGCTGTTGTATATTTCAGATCCATGTTTTAGTGTATATTTGAGATCATTGTTGTAGTGTATATTTGAGATCATCGTTGTAAAGTGTATTTGAGATCCTTTTTGTGTGCACGTTTAAGATCCAAGTTTTGGTGTATGCGTATTGTTGGATACATATTAGAGGTTTAACCTATAAAGCACTTCACAAAACTAAAATAGATAGATGGTCACGCCCCTTATTTGTCAGACCTTGGTATTCGAAGATACGTCTTAGTCTGCCGTTTCCTCTAGTGGATCTCTCCGACGAACTAATTCGGATGTTTGTGGTACTCGCGGATGTCCGAGTCGACTAATACGGAATTGTTTTCCACATTTAGCCTGCCTCTGAAGTACAACCTAATACCTTAAAGACCATGTAGCGAGCACGAGATCGATTAATTGATATAGAACGTGGTCATTGATCAATCGTCAAATAAACTCACGTTATTACCGCCAGGCAGTGATCCATCTTGTCGACTGGACAGTCCGAATTGTCTGGGCTCAGGTCATGCCCATTGATGTCCTCATTTACATATGGGGACAATTCTAGGGGTCAGCTAAGTCCATTGATTTGACCGCTCGAGGCGGTCACTGAAAGTAGGATGTCGTGTTTACCCCCGGTCTACATTACTAACACCGGCCACAGTATCAAAAGATTTTGAATTAAATGTCTTAAAAGAATCATTGATTACTAAAATGTCGTCACGTTAACATCCTGTTTATATGACTAACCTCGTAGTTGTCTGTTCCTTCTTATAGAAGACCCGGATGGAGCATATTTAGCCGAAAGCGGCCGATGCAAATGTATAAGCGGATGCGGGCAGATATAGCCGGAAGCGGGCGATATCACCGGATGTGGGCTGACATCGAGGCATTTTTATTCGGGTGGTCTTTATCGACAGTTGGAATATAATTGATTACAAATGCAATTTGAGTGATATTTTGAGCATTTATATGATTAATACTTATAACACATTTGACTTAATTGGAGGGGAAAAATCCTCCAAATACATATTATTAGATTGAAAAGAACATATTCCGCCAGCATACCTTTAATAATGATAGTAAAAGTGTGGGTTCGTGTTTTGATCTGTTTTTGTGTTTTGTTTGATTAAATAGTTGATAAAAAATGCAAAGTTTCAATTTTAAAAAAATGCACGACTGACGGTTCTTGATGTGTGTGATAAATGCGCTGTGCCGCGCTGTGACATTCCTCCGCCGATATCGCGTGTCATGCTGTGTGACGAGGCACATTGGGATCACGTGATAACATACAAAATCTTAAAAATATGAAATAAACGACATGCTTTCATCATCAATTATAAAATAAAATATGTGTTATCGGCTGCATTAATGTAGATAAATAATACCGTTACATATCCCCAAAGATCGCTACAGCTACTGGTTTGTGTTGTATCGAACGCGCCTCTCCTGCTCAGGCCTGGCAGCCTACTTGTGATAGGTCCTCGCTGTTACACAGCTATGCATTTTTCATAGCGATATTCTGTCATTTTTATTATTCTATTACTTAGGAGAGTATTCCAAAATGGTGCAGCTTCTGGCCATCTCAAAGACCATCAGACAAACACTCCTCAAATTAATGAAAGTACATTATGAAAAACACAAAAACATAAAAATATTTCCACTGATCGTCGAGGATAATGTTTTGTTAGTCTGAATGCTGTGTTTGGGATAAATGTACAAGACGAAACGCGTAGGGGTCGTAGACGTCGAGGTAATGTAGCGTTAGTGTGGAGGTAACATTACAGTGTGTGGCCTAACGTTTTGGTGAAGGGATGACGTTATAGTACTAATGCTGCATTATGATAGAAGTGACGTTTTGATATGAGTTCAACATAGAGTGACTGATGTTTATTATGTCCATCTTGCTCGAATTTGTCAATTTTCAAATATCAAAAAGAATATGAGCATTAACGAGTTTCTCTTTGTAAATTTTGAAGATTAATTGACGAGAATATGATAAACATGCCGAAAACCAACTGTCACGAATTGTGGAATGTCTTTCTGCCATAATTATATATAACACTAACGACGAGTTAGACTGTGCAGAAATTTGTTGGGGATGACATGTTGCCTAATTGATATGCAAAAATCTTACACCGTGTTAACAACGTTGTGACGTCAGAGTAATGATGATGTATATTAGTATATTGGGAAGTGACTTAAACTGAACGTTGTGTTAGTGAGGTGGTGACGTCATAGAAATGGTGATGTATTATAGGGGGAAGTGACGTAAAATGAACGTTGTGCTGGTGAGGAGGTGACGTCAGAGTAATGATGTATTTGCGAGTTCACGTCAGAGTTATACTGTGGTGATTGTTAAGATATGACGTCAGAGTCATGTGTGTTTTTGTTGGTGAGAAGATGACACTAGAGTATAAGTATTTTCTACAGATCCCAGCCTAGCAGCAGTCCGACAATGTTATACGATCAAAACACGGCGCCATATGCTGCCCCAACGTAGCACTGACCCCTGAAGTTCACTTCATCTTCTGTAAGGAAAACAAAACGAATGTACAAAACGTATTTCTTTAAGGATTCAGTTTGCTTGTTCTGCTACAGACTACCCCGTGGCTGGAGCCAGACTTTGTTTTTACATGACGTTCACTGAAAATCCGACCGTCTTATGAATTAGGAAGAATAACCAACACGTCAAATAGAACGATATAAGTACCTTGCCGTAGCATGATTTTACTGAATTGTCAATAAGAGTTTACTTCTCAATATTCAGACTTTTTTATGAATAATATATGCTGTAGTGATCATTTCAGATATTTAAGACTGAAAATACTGATTGTGTGAAATGCAATGAAAATATATGAAGATACAAGCTGTATTCGTGTGTGCCTAGATAGCCGTAATGATGTCCTGTCGCTTTATGTCGGTCAATACTATAACATACCGATTAATATATATGTACATCAACCTCCACTGGGGGAAACAATTGCACGCACCAGTTTAAATTATACTGTATGCTGAAACTCATTACAGCTGAGATTTAACTCGCCTTATTTTAATGCTGCAATTTTGGTAACAATAAACAATAATGACGCGTCGCATCCTTCCTACTGACCAGCGTGTTGTCTATATAGCTATTGAACCTTCTTATCAGTTCGGGTTCAGTCTCACATCATAGGTTTCCTCTGTAATACGAAAATCAAACTGTACTGCATTACAGAAATATCACTTTGAAGTTAGTGTTTTTCTATAATGCGTAAAAGATACACAAGGTTCAGCATATCTGAAAAACAACTATCTCTAGCTTCCAAGGAGTTATTAAAAATGGTTATGAGCGTATTTCGTTATGTCAAATATTGATCATTTTGACGTCTGTAGTTTTTTTACGAGAAAGTTAGGATTACTATGATATATATGTGTATTCATGTCTGCGAGCTCGCGGATCTGTAAGTTTTTGAAGCCATGAGTTTAAGTTGTTGCGGCCTCGTCATTTGTCTATGTGCGCGGTCTATCTCCATTAGCACATCACGTCCCCTACTATCTAGCTTCGTCATGATAGACTTAACATGCCCGACAACAAACATCGACAATTTTTAAATCACTGCTACAAAGCTGAACAATAAAGCCGATAAGAGGTGCAGAGCGCATGTTGACGAGAGGTGATTTGGCGGGAATTGATCAGCAGTAGCAACAATGGCGGACGTTATCTGCGTACGTTCGATTGGTTAGTCGCGGGCCGCAGACAGGTGCCCGTGCCGTTCCGATACCTCCAAGCTTCTCTGTGACAAGGATTTATGAGTTGTGAGAGTTTGATCACCTTGGCCATCACACGTGCGCCATCATGCATGGCACGTACATCCGGTTTGACAGGCAGAAGGATGTATCGATGAATTTATTGGATTTTAATTCCCGCGAGGTTATCCAACATCACGTAGCGCGGTGGTGAAGGTCTGAAGTTTGACATCGCTTACATTTGTATCTATTACGAAGGCCGTGGTATTTGACAAGGCACAGTAAAACTTCATGAAATCAAAGTTTAGTAAAGAAGCTAGATTGCACTACCAGCGCCGTAAGAGATAACCTATCATTTGTAATGCTAATTATGCAACTCCACGAACAAGCCCCGAATGATATCGCAGACTGACAACGTTTGGGGGTCTACTCGACCCAAGCCGTTCATCTCGTTGTTAATTGACCGTAAGCTTTTATTCTGATGGTGCGCGACGCGAGCCGGGCAGCATACTCGCTGTCGTCCTTGAATTGTTTGTCCTAGTTGGTCGTTAGTATTACTTATTTGTGTTTTATTCCCGACAGCCGTTTTCTTTATACGATGGTTTGCTTTGTTACAAACTTCATTAAGAAAAAAAACGAACATAACACGTAATCAAACCAGTAACAATGATGTATTTTCGAAATATAATTGTAAGAAGAATGAATTCAAAATCTGCATCTTGACAAGTTATTTCTACACTGTTAATCACGTGGTAAGTCACGTGATAATACCGCCATCTTATGAACAATCACATGGCTGTGAACACAGTAACTGCTCCATATCTATACAAGGTACATATGTGTTCTTGGGCTTCCTAAAACACATTTTTACGACTAACATGTGTACTGATATGTTCAAACACATATATATCAGATACATACGTGTTAAAATGAAGTTATTAAAATAATGGGTATAATAGAGCTTTTTCCATAGAAAGTACACAGAAACATCTGGTAAACCGGAAGTCAATGATCGTCCATCTTGTACATATAACATGTTCACCAGTCCTATGTCATCAGGAAAATGAAGTCACGCATTCTCGTACTTTTTAGTGCAAAACATTTTTTTTTCCCTCCATTTAAATCATTCCTTTTTATGTAAAAACAACCACCACATTGGACATTGATACATTATATGTAATATGGCGCCGCGTGCAAGTACATATTTAGAGTATTATAAAACAGAATGTGATGGATATCAAAATTCAAAGTAAAGTCAGAGTTTGAATCATACCAACGGAATAAAGAGTTGAATTGCACCTACATTGCAAATATTTCACTTTGTGTAAGTGGTTAGCGATGATCGTTTATCGACAATCTTCTCTGACTTTACAAGAACACAACTGATTTCGTTTTTATCCAAAACACGGCTGACGGCGTTGTTATGAATAGACAACAATTATGAATCAGCGACTTCCTGTTTATCAGGGATGTCTCGGGAATAGATTTTTTGGGAGGATTCTTGTTGTTTCCTGACTTGCTTATCAGCTTAACAGAAAAACTGTCAGGAAAGTCTACTCCCAGACTCATTGGCTATACGCATTTCCCCGTAACGTCCGTACGATCGCTGTTAATTTTGTTACTGTATCATACTGTTATTGTTCCGGTACAATTCGGGATACATTTTTGTTCAACTTTGATTACCAAATACCTTCCACATTTTTGTCATTGATAAAACATGATAAAACAGTAAAACACCTAGTATATATGATCCATTAAAAATATACATATTAGGGGACACTTGATTGAACGGTGACCCTATTGGCATTACACTGACTTGCACTGTAAGATAAAATATATCAAATTCAAATTTAAAAACAAAATGAAAGTCTAGAAACCATTACATAGGAGTTATTTTGTACAACTAGTGCCCGTGGTCAAGGTGATAGCGAGAACAAGTTATTGCAACATTGTAGGCCTATAGCTGTGAACAGATTATGGTGTTTTATCGTATATCATATTGTCATTAGTTTAGGGTTTCGTGATTAGTACACGGATGGGATATTTTCTATATCTACATACATACATGGGTTCCGTTTCGAGCCGCAAATAGTGGCTAATGAAATCAACGTGGACGAGTTGAGTAAAACGGGATGTCAAAAATATAAAATCTCTGACTTACGAGAAAATAAATATGTATATAATAAAAACATATAAATACATTTCTTAACTTAAATGTTAAATCCATTTTCTGACTCCTTATAATTAACATCATATATCTGGTTTGTCGTCTCAAAGTTCAAGCTTATTGCTGAACAACTTTGAATTTTGTTTAAAAACAGAAAACAGTATTTTAAGACGATTCTGATAAGTTCACTCAAAGAACAGTGACATGGGTGACGCAATATCCTGAGAAAAGTGACGTAGAACACCGATATGAATGACGTAGAACACTTTGATACTTTCGACACAAATGTATGAATGAGATTTGACTTGTATACATATTATACGGTGTTCTAGAGATTAGTGACGTAGCTGGCTCGTCGGTGTCGACGTCACACCTCGTCATATTATCTATATATAAACTCTGCTTATGGATTTCTATTATAGATCATTGTCAATTACAGAATGGAATGTTGCTTTCTTCCGGAGTTCGCTGGACAGAATCAGCGTTGTACTTAAGTATGGCAACCACTGGATTTGACGTCATAATATCATCATTCCTTTAGACAGAACTGAAACAGGAAAACAGTATTATCAGATATAACCTTGTTGTACCACAACAATGACGCAAGTTAGAAGTATATACCATGTGTACTACATAACAGACAGACATAAAATATCGGATTGCGCATTTTAAATATAACAAAACATTGTTAACATAACTTAAATATCGTCGATGATGTAACTGCCGTCTACATTAAGCGGACCATACTTATCAGATCGGTCTGGTTTCGGTTTCATTCAATAACCAACGATTTGTTCGTTATATTAAATTCCTCAGATATGAATGGTTTGTTGATTAAGCCAAGGGAAAATATATACTTAAAAAACTGTATCCGGGTACCTACCTTTGTCTGTCACCATGGGGACAAGGTAAGTAGATGACGTACATTGGCACGAGTCACTGTCGTTGCTGGACCACCACAAAGCATCCTCGAACATACAAGGTACTCCGCAGATCACATGGCACCTTGGACGTTAATGCCGTGAACCCCTATCATAACATGGGCACTGCTGTAACGTTCTCACAGTCGTATTTGACGTCCATTGTGATTTTTGATATTACTGTAAGGATCATATTATCGCCTCGGATGTTATAATAAACATTCCGCTTCCGGTTCAGACTTTGTTATCAATGCCATTTCTCGTCGACGACTGTGTACCTGGAATTCCAAGTCCTTGTTATAGAAACATGCCCATTTGGACAATAACTTTGTCGTCATCAAGAAGGCTCTGAAGGTAAACTAGATTTTTACCATTGTCCTTTCCGTCAACATCCTCTGTCAATTTGGACATTGATCAATACCACAACACTGTTCATGATGGCCGAACATTAGCTGTAACACCTTGGGTGACGAACTGTCAGACTCACTTTACAATTTAAGCCATGTTTGAGTATTGTGTCAGTACCTCTGGTCCTTGTGAACAACAATAAATAATAAATAACCGTACAAAAAAACTAACTGAACTGTCGTCGCTCTAAACAATAATAAATAACTTTGAAAGCCCGGTAGCATCAATTCATAACATTTAGGTCAAATTCTCCGTTCATTATAAAATAAATGCTTTGACCTTGTGGTACTCAAGCTTATCACAACACAGATTATCAAGATAAGTGGATATAAAGTAGTCCGTCCTCCGCCATTGTACGAATCACTCTCGCGGATGGATATCACACGCCTATTTGTACCTTCCGGTGGAACAAATGTAGTCCTTTGATAAGTTTCCGAATAAACCTAAAAGAAAGAATAAAAAAAGGTTTTATGAAAATAACCAACACAAAAATGTAAGCCTTTTCAATGTACTTATTTAAATTATAAATTGTTTCAAACGTTTATTATTTCTCGTATACTTTTGCTTCTTCGTTTTAAACACAAATCATTTACCCAAAATGGAACAAGATTAGGTGCTTATACAAATGGAGTTTCAGAACATTGGTTTCTTTTAAATTTAATGTCGTCGATAACAAATATTGCACCGAGCTTTTTGACACCGATCTCCATTTTATTTCTGCTTGAAAGATGCGTTTTTGCATTGTAAATTTTACATCGTATTTTCTCACCACCGTAGTTGTATTTCCAATTCCTCTTACCGATATGTTTAATGCATCATTAACATAGATGCTTGTGTATTTCATCATATTTATATACGTCCTTATATGAGCTAATATATTAATGGATCAAATAAGGCCAATATAACCAATGAAACAGAAGCATTGTCCTTTGTTCTTTGACTGCCTTTGTCAGTACATGGGTGTTGAATTACCTCTCGTCTAGGCAAGCATTCTATTTTTCATTAAATGACTTCGTGTTAGAAGCAAATTAGCTGATTATCACGTCAATTGGTTGACAACCTTATCTCGACATCCAGATACTTAACGACAATTTGGAATAAGGTTTCTTTCATCGTCAATCTCGACTTGACCGGAAATTTGCTGGGAGTGGTGTGCTTTTATTTATCGCGATTTTTTCGAAGTTATTTTAGGTATTTGCAGAGTCAAGATGTTTGCGAGCTAAAATGGAATCTTGTAGACACATTGAATATAGATAATAACAGTGCAATGATTCTTTTGTGAGCACTAAAGGAAACTTCTGTGCGTATATCAAGTCAAAGATGTTTAAGGATTCATTGTAATATCGTCTTTGACGCTCTTTATGACACCTCAGAATGCTCATTTTTGTGACGGTATTATTGAAAATATTAAGGATGATGAAGAAATAACATTTTCTTATCAAATGACACTTTTCAATCAGAACTGTAACGTTTTATCAGTTCTTACCGAACTAGATACTTTGGTAAAGGCTAGCGACGCATGCATGTAATTGGTCATTAACTTTTTTAATCTTTGCTACAATAACACTAGGACGCCACGCTCTGCCTGACAATTGTCATCTTTGCTACAGTAAAACTAGGACGCCACGCTCTGCCTGACAATTGTCATCTTTGCTACAGTAAAACTAGTACGTCACGCTCTGCCTGACTATTGTCATCTTTGCTACAGTAAAACTAGGACGCCACGCTCTGCCTGACTATTGACATTTTTGCTACAGTAAAACTAGGACTCCACGCCCTGCCTGACTATTGAAATCATTGGCTGAAGCTTTTTGTCAGTTTGTGTTTAAAATGTTTATAGTTTATACCAATGAATTGCCAATGCCACTGGTATAAAACACGACCTTGGAATTTGCTATCGACAGGTGCGTGTTTGTCGGAAAACTATGCTAACTCTCTTCCAAAGGGCTGTTTTTGTACAGAGAAAGTAAGATAAACGACTTTCTTAAAATAACCTCCCCTTGTCCGATTCCTATTGATGTACGAACCTAACCTACGCTTCACTAACATTATTATCCATTTTTTAAATTAAATTTTGACGGTTAATTTAAGGAGAGTGTGACGGAGGGAAGGGGACGAAGGCACGAGCCCGATAATACTATATCGGTCACGTGACTCGCCCAAAAATGCACGGAGGTATTATACACCCTAGATAAAACCTAATAGGGCCTACACGCTTCTGGGCCCCTTAATGCCTGTTTATACCATTCATATCACTTCCAAATTGCTGTTATCTTACGTAACCGTTTAGTTACTCTCTCTTCTCCGTAACTTTTTTTTTGTCCTGAAGGATTTCAATGATCGCCTGAATTACTTCGTTAAAATTCCATTGCCCTATCCCACAGCGCGGTACGATATTAGCAGCAGGCCGAGCTAGGGGCTGTTCATGTTAACATCACCAGCGCGGGGTTAGGTTACCACAAATACACAGCCACCCCTGCAATATTAGTTTTAAAACAATTACCAATCGACATCCCACCCTACGATACGTTCGCAAAATTGGCATTCGCGGTAGGTGGGGAATTTATGTCACTACAGGTGTAACCAAGATGGCTTACGTACCATATGCTTTCTTACAACACAAAATAACGAGAAGCGTGTAATTACACTCGAAATGATTAAACTAGTTTGGAATCCAGTGAGCAGGTTCACTGTCACTTTTGTCTACCATACACATACACTATAACCATTTATTAACTTCACATGGCTTTTCGTTTAATTCTATTAATATAATGACAAAACCCGGGTAGGGGACGAAAATGAGGGATAATTAAATGTCCATATCAGACAAAGCAATGCAACTCAAGTATTTACTGTCCTGGTATATACAGAAAGTTTGCTTTCTCACGTGCAAGAAAATAATGCTTAGAATATATTTTGAACGGCGATATTTCCACAAAATTGTCAACATTATTTAAACTAATTGCAACAAGAAACATTCTTCATACAACGACAGGGTCTTATCAATTTCCATGTCTAAAACAAACTATCAAAATTATTTTCGCTGTCATTCCCTTAAGTAAACAATAACAATACTGTGGAATAGAAATTGTAATTATAAAGCTTTTTGCCAATATATAATTCATTCAGTTCAACGAAATTGTCGACGACTGTTTAATCACATCAACATTATATTTCACAAAGACAACATTCATAATAATACACTAATTGTCTTTCTCAACCACTCTCATTTTGAAAGCGATTATCGATGTAGACTTAATAGAAGGTAGAGCATTTGAAGGTCAGACTGAGGACAATAATATTACATAAGTGGAAAGAATTGCTAAGGAATTTCCTTTACTGCTTCAACGGTTTCCTTTGAAAACAAACTTAGGTCAAGAAACGTTCAGGAAAGTTGGGTCTGGTTATTTAATTTCTTGACGGACAAGGTCAGAGTATTAATTTCGTAAATTCTGATAGCCCCACCGCCACCATCATTATGATAAAATGGTCGTCCTATCAGAGTGGAGAACACAACCTGTGTTTTTTACAGATGAAAACCGTTTTTAAAACCCCAAGGTTCGATCGACCGGTATACGTTTAGCGACCAATTGTGGGCGGCAACGGAAGAAACAAAAAGAAATATTTTCAACAGCAACATTCCACAAATGAAAGAAGAATTTGTCATTGCAGTTTTCGTACGTCATTTCCGGGAACCTACTTGTGTTTGGAGAGTATTGGTACCAGAGTGTCTTCCACGCCCTCTCTCGGGAAACGCTGGGTTGTGGAAGAGTAGACTTGTGAAATGGTATGTCGTGTACATGTACTACAATGCTCGTGACTGTTATACCTTCTCACGACAAACGGAGCCAACTATTGACACCAATTACCTCCGCATTACCCATAAAGGTGACAATACGTGACTTGAAGGAATCATGCAACGTGCATCACTCGTGGGAATCGAACTTTTGACTACAGACCCACATGAAGTACATGTCCATTCTATATCCTATATATCCTGGGAGATCCGAACTAGAGCCCACTTAAAGCGTTATTTGCCAATCGAATACATTTTCCTTAATCCGTCTCTGGGGGTGGGGACGGGGGTTGAACATGTGACCAGAAATCTACAGTGTCTGGGTGCCTAAAATAGAAGTGATATCCAGAGCTGTTAGCGGAATCGACTGTCACTGGCTCTCATTAAACGTTGGACGTCCTCAACCTAACTCAGTTATTACAGTAACGACGGCAGTAGACAGGAACGAGACGTGCTTCTCAAAGATGACAAGCATCTGATGGACAGAGACGGACTTGAAACTATATTATTTTGTAACGTTCAAAGCTTGTGTGCGATAGCGAACTCTGTTACTCAGAAACTTACAGACGGTTTGTAAGTAAAGATAGTTTTGAAATGTAACAAAACCGTCGTGTCATGCCTTTCCATCAAACGAAAACGATACATTCTCGGTGTTTAGAGTCAAACCGATAAACTATTTCCTACCGCATTTACGAAAATGCCCTTGTCAAAAGAAATCCAAAATAGTAAAAAATATTTAATGATAATTTCTTTTAATGATTAAATATTTATAAATCACAATAATGTGTCTATCACTACCACTTCTAAATAAATAAAGCCTGATCTTGTCATCGTAAGTTAACAATTTTCAAACAAATTCAAAACATTAGTGCGAACTTCGATTTAAAGACATTGACATTGGATGCGACATTGAGGTACAGAACACCTAGCCCTTACCTTTGTTGAGAACACGTGCCTGTCACACATTGTACTGCTCCGAACCATCGGTTTAGCCAGCACGTCCATCAGACTCGCCGCCTCTTGACCACAGCTCCGGCCAATGTTGTCCTTGATACACTGCATCACCTGACTCAGATCCCTGAAAAGTACAACGACATAATTACAGCATCGCGTCGCGAAAAAAAAATGCTGAAATGGCAAAATGCCTATATAAAATGTCTGATAGACACACATGTCGTTTTTAAGCTTATGAAATAACAATTTGTCACTTGGAAACTCCTGAAATAGTTATGTACTGTACGGCTTGAAAACGTACTAAATACCAAGAGATCATTTGGAAATCTATTAAGTACTGTGAAATAACTTCTAAAATGATAGCACGTCTTTTAGAAAGCTAATGGAAGTGCAAAAGATCGCTCTTAAACTTCTAAAACAGTAGCAAATTACTCTGAAACGTATCAAATACATGTATCATGTGATCGATAGAAATAAAAGATTTATTTTGACAAACAAAAACTGTTAAAAAATGTTGGAACTTTTTGAATACATCCTGGCAAGAGATCTGTTTAATTACGTTTATTTATAACTTTATATTAGTACAAGATATACCTTGCTAAGATCACGTGCATGCAAACAGGAAGTACTTAATGTTTTAAACAAGCAGAGAACTACGGCACTTTAAAGTACACATCAATGAAAAATGGCAGCTTCCTGTTAAATCTAATATGGCTCATAGTCCATAAAGCGTTACCGGCTTTCTGATTTATAACGCTGCTTGATGGTTAAGATAGTGTAAACTCGACGGAGATAAAACAACGCTAAATCCATTTTTATTCAGAAATTGTATTTAGAGTGAACATACAAGTTTGCTGCCAGAGGCCGTTCATCGTTGTCACCGTCCTAGTCAGATAGATCGCGAATAGCAACCGTTTATCGCCACTCGTCTACGAGCTCCAACATCAAAGAAAACCGCGCTACTATCACTTACATTAAACCATCTTTCGTTATATGTATAAAACCTGCATTATATATTGTCAGGTCTGTTTTACACAAATGAAGAATAATGGTGAAAAGAACGTTAATTTGTACACCAGGATACTATATTTATGCTTACTTGCGTAACACACGAAAGCTATAAAAACTTGAGACAACTCACAAAACTCATACCCTAGTTATAAATTCCTATTCTTGGTCATGAAACCCTGATCCAGAAAATACTGAAATTAATCGTAAAACACAAAACCTTGGCCCTAACCACACCACTGTGCTTCAAGATAAATCTTCTAGTCTTATAGACATGGACAAACTTCTGTGTCGAGTTGTACCCCATACCTTACAGTACAGACAATAGGCCAATGGCATTTGACCATTTATTATACGCAGAATTTTATCTTTTTGTGGTTAAAGAAGCGTCTACATAGATTCCTTGGTGCTTCCCTATCGCAAACTTCAGGCTTGAGACTACAGTGGCTCACAGATGTGTTGGTAAAGTACACCCCTACCAGTGTAAAACCATCACCGTGGCAAATAAATTCTGTCCGCGTACAATCCTACATCAAGGTTGACAGGAATCCAAAATAACCGAAACCGGATAGTCATGGCAACGGATCAAAGCAGATACATTCAACACAGCTCTAAAGATATGTTTACCAAGGATTAATAAAACGTGCCCGTGTATCTCCACGCGCTTCTGATGTGTGCAAGTATATACTTTGAAGTTGTTGTCATGGAAATGAATTGAGAAATAATGAGAATACATTCTAGTAAACTTAATTTACAAAAAATCCTTTTACGAAGTGTGTGTTTAGAAAACATTTAAAGCACTTGCCATCGATTGGGAGTTATAAAATTTCGTCTCTTCTAAATTCTTAAAAGGTCAGCGTTCTGTGTTCTATAACGTCACCCATCGTTCTGTGGTCGCTATTGATCAGCTGGTCGACAGAGCAACACGCCAGTTACACAGAAAACCTCTTCTGCAATACCGCAACACGCGCTGGGACATGCTTTACACGCACAGGGGGTATTCCTGGCTGACTTAAATTTCCTTTAGACAACTTTACAACGTGATCTCGCGAGATTACACAGCCGATACAGCCAGTAGTTTCCGATATCTGTATATCAAACTTATAAATTACCTTCGGTACGTTTACATCATTGGCCAAATTAGGGTTCTCCCTCGGCGTGGGACAATAAACTCGTTATCTGTTGGATACTCTTTACAAGGTTAATATTTATCATATTTAACTCTTTCCGTCGATCGCAGTATTGGTATAGTGCTTGTTCTACCGGGGAAAGCTAATGCCACACATTCGCTGTATCATTACTAATACCGTTATTGCCGTCTCTCAAAATCTTTCGTACGTAGCCACCATTCATGACGACGGGTTAATGAGAGGTACCTTGTGATTCATCATTAACTAGTAAGAGAAGAAAAGGGAGATACTAGTTATATAGATATCAAGTATAGCTATTCGGTAGTGGATCTATTCTGATTTCCTAAGTGATCCCGAACAGTAACAGTAGATAACTCTGATTCTACAGAGGACATTGCATCATTCGATCAAGCAGTGGGATACAATTGTCAACTTGTTTTCCACAAACCTTCAGTTTGTCTATAAAATAGTCCACCGGAAGCGAGTTTGATCTTAACAGTGGCGAAACATCAAACCCAAAGAAACATGATATAAGGAGGGTTGATATAGTACCTGACTGTTACCAGAGGTGCCAATTGTCATTCTTGACTCCGAAATATTAGTGTTTTACCTGACACCGGAAGAGAAGCTCTTACTTGACAACGAAAGTGATAATGCTTTACCTGACACCGGAGAAAGTGACTTCCATGACACCGGAAGTCCTAAGTGTTTTACCTAAAACCGGAAGCGTTAGTGCCGAACTCGACAATGTTTAACAAATGCACCGTACCTGCACAGGTCATCCAAGGATTTCCAGTTCACGCGTTTCAGAAATCGACTTGTAGTATTCATGACGTCATGAAAACAGCGTTCCGAATAGCTCCCGTGTACCATGTAGCAGCTCATGTGGCGGGCATACACTGTAAATAAAAAAAATATCATGTAGCAGCTCATGTGGCGGGCATACACTGTAAATAAAAAGTATCATGTAGCAGCTCAGGTTGCGGGCATACACTGTAAATAAAAAACAAACCAAGATCATTGGTAAATAGCAGAAGACAGAGCCACAATGTACGTACAGGATGCAAGGTCATTGACAGGTCACGGGAAGTTATGACATTAATTTTCTAAAATAAATACGCGTTATGAAAGTAAACATATCATGTTAAGTGATGAAGAGTTCGGCATCACCGGTACTGCCTCTACGAGATGTGTTATGTCCCCATACAGCAGCCAGTTTGTTCTTGTAAACCTAATCATAGAGAAACAGATATATAAAGATAGAAATCTAACATCCACGTCACAGGTCGAGTAGAGGTGCATACCTGATCTAATCTTACAGGTTTGTTTACGTGTACACTAGATAGGTCGGCGGCATTACTCGGAGGTAGACGTAGTAATACATGTATGAATGGAACCCCTCAGTGCTGATAACATCCAACAACTGTTGGCCTGTTCCTAGCTTTCCTTCCGGAATAACTCCATTACCACATAGTCTTTATATATCGTAAGTTAATTCTCCAGAGTGGTATCATTACCCAGTTCTTTGTAACATTCTTATGCAACAGATTCATAATATAATCACTATTGCATTGCACCGGAAGTTCGACTTGACCTTGACCTTTTAAAATTGTAATCGATGGTACCTTCGTATATGTCGTCATTTTGGCACATAAAGGACAGCTCGTCGGTGGCGCCATTGAGATTGATTAGAGGGACATCGATCACATGGTGGTGATCCTCCCCACACTCGGCCTTCAGCTGGTTGATACATGACATGGCGGACATGTAAGCACTGTAAAATACGGGACAAGTCACAAACATTATTGGACTTTTGAAGAGGTGCACATATTGTTTTATGAACTAGAGAAAATATAATATTAACCGATACGAAAGTTATTAATAACATCATAGTAAAAATTAGATCATATCTTTTGTGACATCAATGTTACAATGTTACATCTCTAGCTAAATTATATTGATAATACATCTGTAATCACAAGACATAATAGTGCTTTGTTATTAAGGCATAATATGTGTATGTTATTCTGGTGCCTTTATTAAAAGTAAACAAAACTGATAATTTTAGCAGGAACACAGTTGGTAATGTATTACATATATTTGGTCACATGGGCAGCACAAATAATCCATTTGTAACACAAACACAAAAACCTAGTATCATTACTCATCCCATAATACTACGGCACGTGTTGGTTATGATCCGTAAACAAACCAGCCATGTCACGTGTAAGCAACACATCATCGTCCGCGCTATTTAGGTGAGACGCGTATGCCTCAAAATAGCATTACCGTCAAGTTTGGTAAATGATCATTTCCTACGTGTCAGATAATGAGTAGGAGCTGCCAGGGACGTGGATTGTATTTGTAGCAAATTCATACCATACAATATAAAATATATAGCAATATGTACGTACGTCACTACACAATTAAGATAACATTGACGTTGCTTATATCCTAACAGACAATCTCATATTAGAGCATGTGGTCGCAATATCATCCTCATTCATGTCTCCATCATGACTTTCCAACTTATGTTTGAAAGGGTCATCGGTAAAAGGTTATTTTACCTTTGTTTCGTTAATATGGGGAACACAAATTAAATCATCGAGTTCTCATACATCTCTCTTTGATTGCTTAATTTGAACAAGGAGTCAAGAGGCTCTGTATCGCTCATCTGATTATTTCTCATTCATTGTAAAATACTTTTATTAAAAGTATTGTTGCAAATATTTCCTTATATTGGACCTCGCCTCTCAACCCCCTTCCTCATAAAGGTCCTGTGTGGTAAAGGTGTCGTTTTCTTTTCAGAAATGATTTATCAACGCTATTTCGTCTTTTCGTATTGCAGAGTTATCTGCTCTTGTGAGCAGGTATTGATTGTTACGTCATTTGTTTGTGAGAGTAACGTCATAATTTTTTGAGAAAACGACACAATTTTCTCACACAGACTAATGACGTAACAATCAATACCTGCTCACAAGAGCAGATAACTCTGCAATACGAAAAGACGGAACAGTTGCCAAGGCGTACATTGTAGTTACAGTTTTTGGCAGTGGTACTGGCCTCCTTAAAGCATTAAACACACTGATTAAGGTCACTTTATTGTTAAAACCTTTCGATATATTTGCTGTAGTCAGGTCACATGTGTTAAAGTACAATTGGTGGATGGCAATCGCATATAATCTAACTCGGTTATCGCAGAACGCTGAAAACTTAACGACACTTAAGATGGAGATTGGGTAATGACATCCTTTCGTACGAATATCTAGGAATAGTTCTGTACAATTAGTCCTTTTTCTGCTTCTTACCGTCGTCACGAACATATAAACGTGTAACTCAGATAGGATTTGATTGTTACCTGCAGAATGCCCGCAGTAGTTCAACGTCCACTCCCGAGAACAGCGTCCGTTGACTTTTCTGCATGTTGAGGAACTGGGTGTTGTAGTCACCAAAACAAGAGAAGGAGTGCATCTTTAGTTTACTCGGGCACTGTCCGTCAGTCACAGAGACCACTGCAAAATAAATAGATGGATATAACAACTGCAAAGGACAGTGGCAAGAAACCCAACATAGAACAGGTGTTTACATGACAGTCATCTCGGACATAGGCTGTCCGTCCGTCTATCTGCCCTCCGTGTCCAACACTATAACCAGTATTTAACATATCATGGGCATAAACGAGAGCAATTTATTCCTGGTACAAAACACATGTGATGTAAACATCGCAATTAGGACAATAAGTACATAAACTAGAAGTCGGAACCACGTCAACAAGGTAAGACCACTCCTTAAGTAAATATACAGATAATATCAATCATGTTACAGAAATACACCGAGACTAAGATAAAGTGTCGTACACTAAATCTTCTACCTAACAACTATATACAGATGAGTGCTGTTCCCCATCATTCACGGTAAAGGAATTTCAATTTTGTAGGATGTTTTTTCTTCGGCTGATACCTAAATGCCAGTAACACGTCTTTGATTACCCCCCGGTTTGAATGTGATGTACCACCTGTACAGGGGGTAACCCTAACGACGAATCCTGTATCCCTACATCACAAAACCTTAATGACCGATTCTCCAGGATCTTCATCTTATCGAGAAGAAAAAATCCTTTTATCATCCCTAGCCACAAAGATTACTAGTGATCTTGGTTCTGGTGTTTTTGGCGATCATACTATCAACATTTAGTATAGATATCGCTAATATATATTAAGCAATACTCATCAAAACCGAGGTAACCGTCATCGATAACGGAGCAATACTCATTATAAACAGGGCAAATATCATAAATAACGGAAAATACTCACTATTAAGTGGTTTTTATTAATCAATAACGATGTATTTACTCGGTAAAAACAGGACGATTTCTCATAAATAACAAGGTAATACTCATCAGTAGCGGGGTACTTCTCGTTAGTTATAAGATAATAGTACTTATACTCGTCAGTAACGAGGAAATTATCTACAACCCCAGAATTAAACTCGTCAAAAACGGAGAAATACCAAACAATCACGAATAATACTCATTTATAACGGAGAGGTATTCATGAATAACATAGCATTTCTCATAAATAACGCAAAAATACTCATCAACCACGAGTGATATCAATAACGTGTTAACACTTTTCGATATCGAGCAATATTTATCAATAAGGCGGGGGGGAGCAATTCTCATGAATATCGGAAAACTCATTATTAACGGGGTGATATCAACAACCAGGCAATACTAATAAAAAAACGAACGAGGTACAACGTAACACTCTTCAAAATCTCGGTTATGCTAATCAATAACGAAGAAAACTTAACGGGCCCTACTCATTAGTAATAGGATAATTGTACTAATACTTGTCGATCACGGTATCAAACTTATCAAAATCTGAGAAAAGTCCAATAATAATAAGGCAATTGTCGCAATACTCATAAACAAGAAGCCCAGAGGGCCTGTATCGCTCACATGGAAATGTTAGCAAAATTGAAGATGAAATAGCCAGATGTTGCTGTACATGTATTTTATGGTTAGTTAGGGCTTATATTTATATACAATAGGACAAAATTCTATCATTCCTACAGGAAAGTGAGGGTTTTCAAGAATTTGCAATGTTTCCACTATTGGGTCCCGACCCTCTGCCCCCAGGGGGGTCAGACCCACCGTTGATACAAAATTAGTTCCCCTTCACCCAAAGATGCATTAGACCAAATATGGACATACTCCAGTCATTCCTACAGAAGAAGAAGGATTTTGCAGAATTTGCTATGTTTCCCCTATTGGGCCCCATCCCTCTGTCCCAGGGGTCAGACCCAACGTTTATACAAAATATAGTACCATTCACCACAGGATACTTAAGACCAAATATAGAAAAAAAATCCTGTCATTCCTACAGAAGAAGAAAAATTTAAAAGAATTTGCTAAATTACCCCCTTTGGGCCCCACCCCTCAGGCCCAAAGGGGGTTAGACTCACCATTTGTACAAAATTGATTTCCCTTCCCCATAGGATGCTACTGTTCAATTTCGGTCAAAATACCTTCATCCCAACAGAAAGAAGGATATTAAAGCTTTTCCTCTATATCCCTTATTGGGCCCGCCTCTCTGCACCATAGGGTCAGGCCAACCGTTAATACACTATTGGTTTCCCTTCATTAAAGGGTGCTTCATACCAATTTTGGACAAAATCCTGTCATTCCTACAGAAGAACAAGGATTTTGAAGAATTTGCTCTTTTTCCCCTATTCGGCCCGCCCCTCTGCCCCCAGGGGGGGGGGCCACATCCCCTTGGCCTTACGATGCTCCAGACCAAATTTAGTCAAAACGTACTTGGCCGTTCAGGACTAGTAGCGTTTTAAAGGAAAAGTTGACGGACGGACGACGGACGACAGACGACGGACGCTACGGACCAGGTGAGCTAAAAACGAGGCAATACTCATCAATAATAGGGCGATACTCATCAATAATTGGGCAATTCTCATCAATTACAGGACAATACTCATCAATAACAGGACAATACTCATCAATAACAGGGCAATACTCATCAATTACGAGGCAATACTCATCAATAACAGGACAATACTCATCAATAACAGGACAATACTAATCAATAACAGGACAATACTCATCAATTACGAGGCAATACTCATCAATAACAGGGCAATACTCATCAATAACAGGGCAATACTCATCAATAATATCGATTGTTTTTTAAATAACAAATATAATTTCAAATCCTTATTAAAATTGTTGGTTTGTTTTATACCTTTCCACTCGGAATCCTCATGAATGCTAGTTATGTTTCAGAGCTATATCGGTCGCTGAACTTTTTCTTATTTTGCTCATATAATAATGCAACGTCACTTCCGGTTGGGGTCTTAATCGCTTTGCCACACATTGATGGTGCCAGTGATGAATTTGCGTTGCTTGTGATGTTGGCCAAATGTTGTTACAAGGATATTCGTGATGACCGAACAAGCTGTTTTCTGTACACATTCTCTTCACATAGCAAAGAGATTACTGCTGCTTCTTTACGAGACTATGTAATTGGAAAGTACATTTGGGAGAAACAATATTAAACACATCCCTTTTGACCGTGTTTTTTATTTGTGACGTCTTTCAACAAATCATAAGCGTTTCCTCATTTATGTGTTCCCGTATTACCTTTACGTGTTTTGTAGCGTCACGTGTCTTAATGCACGTGCTGAGTTTGACCCATGATCACGTGTACCCTGCTGTCCAACTCCTATATAGACGTAGTGGCGGGCTGGTTATCAGTGATGAAAAATGTAGAAATGCTGTCTAAATTATAAAAGAATGAAACGCATGTGCTTGCTGTTGACATAGGTGAAGGGGCTGTGGATTGAGGGTGTGGACGGGGGGCTAGGAGATGCCGATGTCCCGACTCGGCGCGGGCCATACTGTCCATCAGCACCATAAGATACGGTACAGTAATTGGCGTAGTAAAGTCCATTACGGACTAGCCATCCTCGACAGCATTGCTAGAGCGGTTACCCCATCCTAACAGTCGTACATATACATGTCTCCATGTGTCGGCAACAGCTATCAACGAGTCTGCGACAAAAATCAGATCTATAGCATCCAGTAATCGTTTGTCGTGAGTAAAATACTGACCGGAGCCGGGAAAATATCCGGAATTCCCATGTGATGTGTCGTCTGAGAGACACTTTATTTCTGAAACGAGCAGTTTGTATATTGTATCTACATGTGAATATATTGATCAGCAGACAAAACTGATAGATAACTGTGGAATGACTTAGGACCGTAGGAGATAAAATCGATTTACTTTTACCTAATTACTAGAAAGGTCGTCACTGTAGCGTAGATATATATACATACGGTATTTTTCTATAAACACGTATGATCTTTGTTTAATTAGCTGTAGAACAGGTAACGTATTATGGGTAAAAATTGAAAACGACATTATAAGGTAATGCGCCTGTGCTGAGAATGACTAGCTCAACAACATATCTGCTCATTTTGCCATTTACATGTTTCATATATTCAAATGTGATGAAAATCACTAATAGAACTTCACAAAAATAACCTATCAATGCAGAAAGATAATAGAGCTTAAAAATTGTCAAATGGTGTTGCTATAACGAAGTAAACTATATGAAAATACAACTTTATGACATTTTTAGTCAAACTCAACTTTATTACATGCTAGCCTAAGTCGAATTCAAGGTTTCTTCCAATCAAAAAAGAAAAAAGAAAAAAATAATGACACGAAATTAATCAAACTTAATGAAAAATAGTACTGTTGTTATTTTTCTTGTTTAAAGGTAATGAATAATTTTCAATTCAAAAGCGTTTTGCATTAGTTCTGATTTCAATTGTTTTGAAAGAACATATAAGAAATTCAGCTGTTATCTATATGATATGTTATTAAACTTTAAACTTTACAAAGCCGAGTCCTACCTTTTTGGTACCAATCTGGAAAGTGAAAAATGTTTTGAAGCAATCGACTTGAAAACTATAGTCATGAAAAGTCAAGAAAATAAGTCCGAAGTTACAGTCGTGGTGATAATTATGTCACGACTGCCTAGCGACACGTGTGACTTAGATTGATAACGTGTCACACCTCGTGTCGTCATGGAAACAAATTAGCACACGCTTAATAGACTGGTAATTACCTCGAGACTCAGCCACGAAATCTCATCGTCTAACCTTTACGATTCAGATGTAATAGTCATCACGTAAACAGTGAATGTCTGTCTCTGGGGGGTCATCCTCTTACGTCGTCTTCCGGGTCAAGGTCGTCATCAAAACGTGAGGCCGGCATGCAACCGTATACATAAACGATCAATGACAAAATTTGGTCATTTTGACTTTAAATGACCATGTAGATAGGTGCATGACATATATCTTCAAGAGTGAAATTTTTAACTTCAAATATTCATATCTTTTTCCGATCAATCCGTTTCTGTGTGGTGCAAGTACATGTATACATTGTTAATGTACGTACAAGGAGTTCACTCCTGATGACGTCACCAGCCATCAGAGCTTCACGCTGCTGACTAAACAGTAACAAAATGCACCAACTTCCTTTATTGAACTCGAAATCCAAGATACGTCAAGTTATTATTATCTATATTTTCGAATATTATAAATAAGAAACAAAATTTGAAACAATAACAAAATGACGTTATCTATGCATAAGCTTTAAGCTATAAGTATGTGACAATAGAAAAACGTACTATGAGGGATAATGAGATGACCCTGTACCGTTAGACAGTAGAATGTACTATGATAATGTGATGACCCTGTACCGTTCGACAGTAGAATATACTATGATAATGTGATGACCCTGTACCGTTAGACAGTAGAATGTTTTATGATAATGTGACGACCCTGTACCGTTAGACAGTAGCATGTACTATGATAATGAGTTGACCCTGTACCGTTAGACAGTAGCATGTTTTATGATAATGTGATGACCCTGTACCGTTAGACAGTAGAATATTTTATGATAATGTGACGACCCTGTACCGTTAGACAGTAGAATGTACTATGATAATGTGATGGCCCTGTACCGTTAGACAGTAGCATGTTTTATGATAATGAGATGACCCTGTACCGTTAGACAATAGCATGTTTTATGATAATGTGATGACCCTGTACCGTTAGACAGTAGCATGTTTTATGATAATGAGATGACCCTGTACCGTTAGACAGTAGAATATTTTATGATAATGAGATAACCCTGTACCGTTAGACAGTAGAATGTACTATGATAATGAGATGACCCTGTACCGTTGGACAGTAGCATGTTTTATGATAATGTGATGAACCTGTACCGTTAGACAGTATAATGAGATAACCCTGTACCGTTAGACAGTAGAATGTACTATGATAATGGGATGACCCTGTACCGTTAGACAGTAGAATGTCCTATGATAATGAGATGACCCTGTACCGTTAGAAAGTAGCATGTTTTATGATAATGAGATGACCCTGTCCCGTTAGACAGTAGGATGTTTTATGATAATGAGATGACTCTGTACCGTTAGACAGGAGCATGTTTTATGATAATGTGATGACCCTGTACCGTTAGACATTAGCATGTTTTATGATAATGAGATGACTCTGTGCCGTTAGACAGTAGCATGTTTTATGATAATGGGATGACCCTGTACCGTTAGAAAGTAGCATGTTTTATTATAATGAGATGACCCTGTACCGTTAGACAGTGGCATGTTTTATGATAATGTGATGACCCTGTACCGTTAGAAAGTAGCATGTTTTAGGATAATGAGATGACCCTGTACCGTTAGACAGTGGCATGTTTTATGATAATGTGATGACCCTGTACCGTTAGACAGTAGCATGTTTTATGATGATGTGATGACCCTGTACCGTTAGAAAGTAGCATGTTTTAGGATAATGAGATGACCCTGTACCGTTAGACAGTGGCATGTTTTATGATAATGTGATGACCCTGTACCGTTAGAAAGTAGCATGTTTTAGGATAATGAGATGACCCTGTACCGTTAGACAGTGGCATGTTTTATGATAATGTGATGACCCTGTACCGTTAGAAAGTAGCATGTTTTAGGATAATGAGATGACCCTGTACCGTTAGACAGTAGTATGTTTTATGATAATGAGATGACCCTGTACCGTTAGAAAGTAGCATGTTTTAGGATAATGAGATGACCCTGTACCGTTAGACAGTGGCATGTTTTATGATAATGTGATGACCCTGTACCGTTAGACAGTAGAATATTTTATGATAATGTGACGACCCTGTACCGTTAGAAAGTAGCATGTTTTATGATAATGAGATGACCCTGTACCGTTAGACAGTAGGATGTTTTATGATAATGTGATGACTCTGTACCGTTAGACAGTAGAATGTTTTATGATAATGTGATGACCCTGTACAGTTAGACAGTAGCATGTTTTATGATAAGGAGATGACCCTGTACCGTTAGACAGTATCATGTTTTATGATAATGAGATGACCATGTACCGTTAGACAGTAGCATGTTTTATGATAAGGAGATGACCCTGTACCGTTAGACAGTAGAATGGACTATGATAATGTGATGACCCTGCACCGTTAGACAGTAGCATGTCTTATGATAATGTGATGAACCTGTACCGTATGACAGTAGAATGTAGATAATGTGATGACCCTGTACAGTTAGACAGTAGCATGTTTTATGATAAGGAGATGACCCTGTACCGTTAGACAGTATCATGTTTTATGATAATGAGATGACCATGTACCGTTAGACAGTAGAATGTACTATAATGAGATGACCCTGTACCGTTAGACAGTATCATGTTTTATGATAATGAGATGACTCTGTACCGTTGGACAGTAGAATGTACTATGATAATGTGATCACCCTGTACCGTATGACAGTAGAATGTAGATAATGTGATGACCCTGTACAGTTAGACAGTAGCATGTTTTATGATAATGTGATGAAACTGTACCGTTAGACAGTAGAATGGACTATGATAATGTGATGACCCTGTACCGTTAGAAAGTAGAATGTACTATGATAATGAGATGACCCTGTACGGTTAGACAGTAGAATGTTTTATGATACTATGATAATGTGATGACCCTACTATGATAATGTGATGACCCTGTACCGTTAGACAGTAGAATGTACTATGATAATGTGATGACCCTGTACCGTATGACAGTAGAATGTACTATGATAATGTGATGACCCTGTACCGTTAGACATTAGCATGTTTTATGATAATGAGATGACCCTGCACCGTTAGACAGTAGAATGTACTATAATGAGATGACCCTGTACCGTTAGACAGTAGCATGTTTTATGATAATGAGATGACCCTGTACCGTTAGACAGTAGAATGTACGATGATAACGAGATGACCCTGTACCGTTAGACAGTAGCATGTTTTATGATAATGAGATGACCCTGTACCGTTAGACAGTAGAATGTACGATAATAATGAGACGACCCTGTACCGTTAGACAGTAGAATATACTATTCTAATGAGATGACCCTGTACCGTTAGGTAAAAGCAGTGATGCTCCCTAGTTATAGCTCTACATGGCAACGACTCGTTGAAGTCCTGTCGCTATACTCAGCACGGCGTCCAACTCGATACGTGTGATGTGCCTAATATATAAACCATCTCTTTCCATGAAAACGCACATTTCACAAAAACTATGACAGGTGGAAATGACTAGAAATGAAATATTACCCCGACGATAACTAATCTGTAAGATAAAGTAAATTCAATTTCGTCTGAATGGGCTGTTTTGATCCCGCGCCTTGTCGTGTCGACGGTCTCGGCCAACTGTTGCCTGTCGCGCGTGCATGTTTCCGCCATTTTTCACGGATTACATATGTTTAGGGCCTTCCAAAGACACCATTACTCGTAAACGCTCTCGCGGGATGACTTTTACATTCTGACGTTTGATGGAATTAAGATAGGGTGCGTTATATGGCGGGAAAAAGTAGATTCCATCCTTCACCTCTACATAGATCATGTCTGCGTTTGACATGCCCCATCTCCAACCTTGTCAAAAGCATACGTCTCCCTGACAGGACGTTTGCGAAAATTCACAAATCTGTTCGCTGACCCCTGTGCAGACTGCAATTCCAGGCAGATATTTATAGGCAATAAATGTTAGTTAAACATCTTATGGAGAAAATAAAAATGATTTCTCTGAAAACGAAATTAAAACCCTAACTGGCGGACGCGTCTTTAGAATAACTACAAGATTAGTGACGCCTGAACACTGACCGACCTCTCCAGCGACATAAACTTCAACAGTACAATACTTAATGTAGCTAAGAATTCCAATGTAAATAGTTACCGATCCTTTCAAATATTTTCTTTTTAAACTATTATTTTATTTTATAAAATATATATGCGTAATTCATTTGCTTAATCATGGGTGAATTTAAACTTTCAATCACTTTAAAACAAAAAAGATATTTATAGACTTTACTTCGTGTTTTTTATCTTCCAGTGATCCTTTTCAATTCCAGCACATACACAAGTATATACACAATGTTGCTTTTTAGTGTTAAATGATTATGAAAACATCTTCGATTTGATAAATGTGCCGTTTAGTTCCTTCCACATGTTCAGTTAATCCTAAATTGCGCTTTTGGAGGTGTCTAGTTTGTCAGTTGTGTGAGAAAGAAGATATTCAACTCGTGATGATCAATTAAATATTACGTCAAAGATCGTGAGTTGATTTTCACGAATCTGTAACCTCCTTGCATTTTCATGTTAGATTTATAAACTTGTGTTTATAAAATTTACGTGAAAATAAACTCACCATAACAAGATAAAAAAAAATAAAATATTCAAGCATAACTCTACCAGACAAGTTTAATTGAGTACTAATTTGGGTTAATTCGTTAATATATGACATACTTTAACTGTTTTACTACTATTAAATATAAGCTTATTGGTACCTGCTATCTAACAACATGTTTATGTTTTAATGCAATGTAACTATATACTTTTAAAACGTACAATGTATCAAATGCAATTGTGATATATGACTCTCAAATAAACAATATTTGACATGACGAATACAAATTATAAATGTGCTGTACGTGCCCGCTTCTCTGTATATCATATACGTACAAGTGTACATGTATATAAAACATGTACATCATTATGTCCCTTTTTTCTAACCTTTTCTTATAAAGGCGTACAGGCAATATCTATATCACTTACCTGATATAACAGTAAATATTTGAATTATAGATCCAAATATGTAGGTCCTATCCCATGTTTGACCAGGTTCTTTGGAAACTTTCATTTTGAATCATCGCCTCAGACTAAAACTTAACGCGACTGTTTCCGATATCGCAAAGTCCCGTTACTAAGCGTGTGGGCCTGCACGCGCCCTCGTCGTTATGGCAGGAGTAACGGTAAGAACCGGATCCGGGCCGTACGTCAGATGCTGGTGACATGTAGATGTAAGTTATAGTAGATTCTCCGGTACGGTCCGCCTAGGTATAGAGTGGCAGCGGCAATCCTAATGCGTTTTACTCTAAATAAACAGCTCACGAAATATGAGCGAATCTTTTTCTACACGACCTGGCTGATTGCTCGAGAAAGATAAATGACCGGCTGATATTGGTAGACAATTACCGAGAAGGGCTCATCGGAGCGGGACAGATAGACCAAACAAATACTGGCAACGGAGGTGTTTCTTCACCAACATTGTGGATAAACTGTTAAGTGATCGGCTCCGTCTTCATATATTTCTCCTTTATAACTTATATCTATTCAGGACACAATAAAGAGCGATGGTATTTGGAATGATGAGGAGGTATAAGTGTGGACGTGCAGTAAGCAGAGTAGATAAGATAATTAGATCTGCGAGGATACTATACGGTTACAGAAATTTCTACAAATGTCAGTAATTTTTCACAAGCACGTAGAACTTCAGCACGAAATTAGAACAGCTCTGGCTAATATAGAAACTAGAATATCGACCTGGCTTTTTTCTTGTCTTAGAAAGAAAAGTACTTTTAAATCTTGTTAATCTCATACTGAAAGAAAATCGATTTCTATGAAAGTATAACCGAAAGGAAAGAAAACAACGTATACTGAATTACACCGAAGATTGACGTCAAAACAGAATGTGTAATCGAGAACAAATCTAAATCTTCAATAGCGTGTTCAACATCATATATCTTTTAAGAAAACATAAACAGACATTATCGTGGGAAGGGCAATGTCCACTCTATCTAGACGCGTGCTGAGTCTGGTTCTTCGTCCGGAACAAACAGTGACCATAACGCTAAAACCGGATTTTGCAACAGGTTTTGATAAGTCAGTTTCAATAACAGTTTATGGTATTTATCTGATCTGACGAGAAGTGTCTCTTAAGATCTCGGTACCTGACTCATCGAGTTCTCGTTTGCATGCTTGTATCTTTCAATGATCAGTGTACACTGCACAAAACGAGAACCACATTCTTACAATACGACCTCGCTGAATTCAACTAACAGCTACCAGTGATGGAGTTGTGACATTGTTTCCGTGATGAGGTCATGTCTGTAAGCTATACAACTGGCGGGACCCCAATAGATCGTGTTGTCCACCGTAGACCGGACTATTTGGTCAGCTGGTTTCTCATGCTTGTGAAGTCTGCGAAGTCCATCAGATTAGACTATCAGTCAGCAGATTGTCCTGTCCGTCATTCTGAAACGCTATCAAACTGTGGTCTTGTCAATATTATTTCAGAAGGTTGTAGATTTTATCTTAGAAAGTAACTATCTAGTGACAGGACTTAACATTGATTTACTCAGTACTTCACATTGTTCCTATCAATGTCTGCGCGATTCTACTACATATATTTACAAACTTTATATTGTTTCACTAAGCTCTTAGAGAACCAATTTCATTGAAAGTGACCTGTGGTATCCCACTAAATGATTGTTTGTATGAATTAATGGGTTTTCCTTGTTATAGTATTAATTTCTGTAAAAGGACTTACCAGAGGAAAGGAGAAAAGACAACAGAAAAGACAACAGAAAAAGAAAAGACAACAGAAAAGACAAAATTCCAAAGTTATGCAATGGGACATCTGTTCGATTCAGATGTCCCCTGCAAGATCCATCACTATAACATTTGCCTTGTCTAGTAATATGTACGTTGCATTAGATTGCCATTCACGATGATGACACAAAGAGGGTGTGGACATGAAACAAGCCCAAGATGAACATAGTGCGGTCGATACCAATGTGAAATAAACAGCATGGTCCGTAATATGGATTCTATGCTCAAATTAACAAACTAACTTTCTTTTATTTTGCTTAAACCAGGTAACATTGTCAAAAGGTAGTGTAAACATTGAAAACGGTATTCGGCTTTCAGTCTGTCAAAATTTCTTCCAAATGCGATTTCGTTTGTCAATTTATTGCCGGTGAACAAAACATTTAGGCTTGAGCACTGAATCTGAGTTTGAGCACGAGAACGGTTTCATGAATACGGACCCAGGCTAATTGTTCAATAGAATATCGTACGAAAAGTCTCAGAACCTCTATAACAATGTATGTAGGACTAAAAGCTAATTACAGAGAAAACACTGATCAAGGATACCTTCTGGTAAAGCTACAACACTATATTGTTATGATCACAGGGTATGAACGTATGAATCAGAACTATGGAATCTAAGATAAGGTCCCAGGTCCATTAACGGGTGCTATGGTTGTGATACATTTTATGGACCAGACTTATTAACCACTGGACTCCGGAGTGTTAGACTTAAGTTTATATCTATATCTAGAATGAGAGATTTGATCAGTTTTGTATGACAAAGGACCTATGGGGTGTGTATAGCGCGCTCAAAACCATCACCGAGGGGGAACAAATCTCCTCATCTCTAAGCAGCTCCAAACTTCACCCATCTCATCACACGTTTTTATCCCATCTAATCCGAGGTTCTTTTGAAATGTTGTAACTAAAATGAAAAATTAAGTAGGCGCGATAGAGGAGTTGCAGCTTGTGAACATGTATAAATAATGTTTTGTGGCGGCGCTAACAGGAACACGATGTGTGCATCATCACCCTCTGTATCAGATGGTCAGATACAGAGGCTGATCTACAAGGGAGGGCGCAAGGGGAGACGGGCATGCTAAATAGGTGAGGGCGCGAAGGGAGATTTACAAAGAAAAGGACGAGGACAAGTTCTAGATAGAGAGTGGCAAGAAGGGAAATTTACACGTTAGCTGTTGATGGAGGACGGAGAGGGTAAAGAGGGCAGGGAGGGGTAGTGAGATAGGATGGATGAGGAAACCTTCTAGATGAGGAGGAACGAGAGGGACTAGTGGTGGTAGGGAAACAGGGAATACTCTGGATGGGGAGGGGCGAGGGGAAAGATGTGAAGGAGAAATAGGAATAGAGAGGGAAGATTCTAGAGGGGAGGAGAGATACGCAATGGAGAATATGGAGAGGATCAAGAAAGGAGTGTCGTGCATACCAGATAGGGATTGCAAAGGGAGATGGGACATATCAGGTAGGCGATCGGCGTGATAGAAGTAATGTTTGTTAGGTTTTAGAGAGGGTGCGAGTATAGGTAAGGAACGGAGACTAATGAAGAGATACAGCAGTTACAGAAGGCATACAGAAAAGGGTTAGACTACACTTAGTGGTTAGACTACACTTGGTGGTTAGACTACATTTAGTAGTTAGACTACATTTAGTGGAGACCGGAATACTTAGTGGTTAAGACTACATTTAGTGGAGACTGGAATCCTAGGGACAGGGCCCCCGGGGGAGGGGGAACAATGGGAAACACGTGGACAGCCCATTGCTGAAGTTCGTTCTAAATGTTCGTTAGAAAGAATGGGCCTTTCTGACCACAGGAGCGTGTACTAGTGGAAAAGAACCCATCTCAACCACTTTCTTTATAAACAAATAAAGCGGTACTTGTCCCTGTCTTTCTGACCTATCATAATCTGCGAGATGTATGCCTGGTTACAGTAATATTTCAGTTCAACGTACATACACAATGCAGTTTGTTTAACATTGTATCGTTATATATTGCAAATGGCAACGTCTGCTTTCAAGGTAATTATTTTACCTCACAGTTCCTCTAAAACGTGCAGGATACAAAGCAGATTAGGTCCTGTTAACTAGTCCCCGGGGATTTGTGACGTATAAGGGCAACCGAGGCAATTGGTAATATGACATACCGGATACAATTAAGTGTCGATGGAAATTGGATACGCGTGCATAGAACTAGCTATTACGTCCTGTTAGAATGTCGTCTGTACCGTTACAACAATCCCAATGCCGTCTTCTATCTCAGCAATACAATTGTGGATGATAAAAGATGGGGACGTATATTCTTCATTGCACTTTCTCTGAAAAGGTCATATCAATGAAAACGAAAGAGCGACCGGCAGACTGATGTGCGGGAACAGTCTAAGGAACTCGACAGAGTCTTTTGTCGTAAAACGATAAAATTCTGGATATATATGAACCAAGACGATTTTCATCTGAAGAAGAATTGGGGGTAGAATGGCTGCCAGCCCCTTATTTTTTTTAAATAAGTGTCATGCTGCATTCTTTAACTACAACGTATCTCCCCGACCGCGTTAAAACTCATGAACAAAAATCAATGGAGTGAAAATGTACAACACACTCATGTTTTTCTGTACTAATAACAAATGTTAGAGATGGAAACACAACTGTCAAATAGATGCACTTCAGAGGAACACTACCATTAGTGTCTGTACATCGTACGTATCACAAAAGTCTTGGCATTGCAAATACGACAGTTGTCTATACATGAAAACTTAACATTACATAATTAATTAACCTAGTACAATGTTCAAGTTGAAAACGTTCTTTGTTTTAATTATAAGGTATTAATGATGTCGGCCGCCGTGTTGTGTGTCTAGTACAGTTGTGGGATCGCACAACGTTACACGATGTGCGGTGTGCGCAGGATGTGTGCACGGTGTGTGAACGAGGTGTGCACTATGTGCGAACGATTAAAATGTGGGCGATCATCTCTTGCGCACATTTGTGTGCACCATGGACGAACGTTGTGCTATAACAATCGTGGTTGGCGTAAATTGAGGAATGCCTTAACAATATATTCGGTTTCGTGTTTAAACATATACACCTTGATTTTTTCGTATGTTTCTATACTCTACCTACACCTATAAACTTATCTTTATGTCTATACTTTCTTAAATTTAGAAATTGTGATTTTTGGTATTTTTTAAACGACCTTATTCGACACCTGTGAAATCACAACACAGTCCCGTATACAGGTCAGCATAGCCACTAGCCGTCTACATGTACCTGGACGGAAGTTTTCCCCCGCCCGGGGCGCCTACGTAATTCGTCGGGTGGGGCCAGGGGTGTGAAAGCACAGGAGAAGGGGAGCTATAGGCAAACCGAATGCAAATAACAAATACTAAACGTCCAGCTGTGTTTTCATTACGGTCATACAGTATCGCATATCATGATCAGCTCTATGTGTCAGGTACAGGACAGGTCAAACCCCGCTAACTCATCAAATTGTTATTTACATATT